CAAGTGGCATGCCCATAGGCATGCCCCCAAGGCATGCCCAAAAGGCATGCCCATGCCCCTGTGCCTCGAACCCTAGTGGTTTAACTTTGTCAAACCAATGAAGTTTTTCAGAATTAATATCTGAAATATGTAAATAATGTTTAATTTGTTAAAAACATAACATTGATATTGTTTGAATAATATCATGTCTAGGATATTTAGGATTAACTAACCAATAATCTGTTACTCTTGGCAACTTAATTACACCCATATATATAACGATTCCTAACCAAATTTTTAATTCATCTAATATTAAAGATAACCAAACATGTCCAACTATACCAGCTTTTGCATATTCATTAGTGTTTGTTAAAATTTTAATAAGAATGGATTGTGAAAAAAATAATCCAATTAGTCCATACGAGATAATATTATTGTTAGGAAATGCTGATAGCAATCTAACAAAACTTGAATGAAATGGCACACTATGTTTTAAATAATTAAATTCAGGAGGAGCAGGCAATTGTGTAACTACTTTGGCTTTTTTTTTTGAAACTGCATTATTTCCTTCTTTTTTTACTTCTGTGACCTTTTTTTTTTACCTCTAGCTTTTCCTTTATTGTTTTCTAGTAATGCTATGTTATTTAAATTAATTTTACTTGTATTATTACTCAATTTAGCAATATCAACTTGCTATCATAATCATCATCTTCAAACATTTTATCAGCTAAAAGTTTTTCAAGTGTTTGTAAAATAAATGAAACATCATAAAGGTCTACCAAATTGGTAAATAATTCTTCATCTTCTGGCATCATAATAAACTATATAATAAACTTTCACTTTGTAATAAAAATATATAAAAATATTTCTAACACAAACTTAAAGATGCGATTGCAAATAATTTGCAGTTAAAAAAAAAAAGATCTAAAATTCATTTATTTTTTTTAAACGATTTGGAAGTAAAAAAAAAACTTATGAAATAAGCCTATTTTTAGAGAACAATGATGTGAGAATAAGTAAGAACAATGCTATGAGAATAAGTAAGAACAATACTATAAGAATAAGTAAGAACAATGCTGTGAGAATAGGTTAGAATAATATCCAAAAATAAAAGCTGCTAAACTTTATTAAACAATTTTTAGGTTGATTAACGAAATATGTGGCATAGCAATATGTGATTAGTGTATTTTCTAGTTAGTGTAGATCATTCATAACACACTTTATATAATCGGCATTTTGGTATTATATTGTTCAAGTCTAGCCAAATTAAATTAGGTATCTCTTGGAGGACCTCTTCCATCTCGTTTTTTGGCAATTACACTAAAATTAAATTTTGCAGACAAATTTGCCTGCTTAACACATTAAGAGATAATCAAGATGAGTAAAGAGTACAGTGGTGAATTAGAGAAACAAGAATTTAAATGTGTCAAGTATAATAGAGAAAGATATGATCAAGTCTCTGTTAAGAGTGGAATTAGCATCAAAGATAAGATCTAGAAGAAATTTAAAATGTTTTTCAGCTAGAGAGGCCAAGAGATAATTAAAGGTATGTCTGGGTACTTTAGAATTTTTGTTGTTTTTAGTATTATTGTTGTTGATAAGCTTCACAGATTTGCCAAGAGCAAAGTCAATAAGATGAGGTTTGATAAAATCAAGAAATTGATGTTTAAGTGTATTTAGTTGTGTTTGATTTTCCATTTCTGGGGTGATAGGGAAGTGTTGGAACTAGTCAAGATCATTTGAGGTATCATGTTTTGGTTTGAAAGGTTCATTATTTTCAGTTTTTGTATTGTATAGATTATTAATAGGTAAGTTATTATTAATTGTATTAGTGAGATTAGTAGCAAAGGTATTAATATCCATGGAGTGATATTGAGTATTTAATATAGAGATGTAGAAGTTGTTAGTAGAAGTAAGTAGTGTTAAAGTAGAAGATAGAGGATTGGTTTTGGAATTAACTTTGCTTGAATATATAGATTCTTTTGGGGGATGTGATTGTGAGAATTGAAAAGATTTGTCAGTGTTAATATTTGAAGAAGGTTTTGAGGGAAGAGCAGGAAATTGCTCAATATAAGATAGAGTTGCTGTAGAGGATGAGCTGATAGGGGAAGTAGTATTTTTTTGAAGGTTTTGAAAAATAGAGTTTAAATCTTTTCTGGCTTTATCAAGTGAAGAGATAGTAGTTGAGATAGTAGAGATGTTTGAGGAGGTTGTAGAAAAGGAGATCAAAATATTAGCACAGTTAATATGGTAAACCTCTTGGTTTACAAGTGTAAAAGGCTCATTAAGATAATGTTTGTTACTATAGAAGTGACAGATAATAATTTTAAGGCATTTAGGACAGGTATGCCAACAAGGTTGGCATGTAGGAGAAGGTGGAATATTATCAGAAGTTTTTGAGATTTGTTAGATAACTTCTGTACCTTTTTGAGATAGCTTTTTGCTAGTAGATACTCAAGAAAATATAGCGGCAGATTAATAAATAGAATTGTTTTTAGCAATAAATTGAGTATGGTATTTACCGCATAAACATATAGCAATTGATGTTGATTTTGGTGTATATTAAAAGTGTGTAGCTATCTTAGTACATGTAGTTTTGATATAGCAGTTAGAAGGTTCCTGGCCTGGTGGGATTGGTTTAATATTGTTAGTTGGTTTGTCTTCAAGAAAGGTAATACCAAAGCTTGTAGAGAAGTAAGCATAGAAGTAGTTAAGATCAATAGTATCTGATTCTTGCTGGGTTGGAGTGAGCATTTTGAAGAATCAAAAAAGGATAAAAATTAATAAATTTAACTTAGAATTTGTTATGAAAATTAATTTTTTGTGGTATTTTTTCTAAGTTAAAAATAGAGTATAGAGATGAAAACAGGAGTTGTATTATTATATGCTATTCAGGGATAAGTAAAAATAGGGTCTTAGATTTAGATTACACAAGGTCACATGACCTTTAGGTTGGATTTTGATGGAAATTCTATGGACAGAGCTTAAGGACAGAGCAGAATCACATGATATTATTAAAATCTATAAATCCTAACCGCTAACTAACTATTCACATGATTCTGCTTTGTCTCTATCTGTCCCTAAGCTCTGTCCGTAGAATATTCAGGATTTTGAAGCTTTGTATTACACAAAGTCACATGACAATCACGTATTACACAAAACCAAAAAGAAAATCTTATTGTATAAATAGAAATTACAAAAAAGGCAGATATTAAAATTATGTAATATTAGTTGAAATGATACAATTTTGGTGTGATTTAAGGAGCACCACTAGTTTTATAGTATTGTAGAATGTATGTAGCACGGCTGGGATGGTCTTAATTACACAGAAAATATCTCTAATTTTTGGGAAAAAAAGAAATTTCCCAAGTAAAAGAGAAGAAAAAAAGTAAATGGAGTTAAAAATTGCTTTGTTTATAACTTGGTTAATATTGAAGTTACAGAGGTCTATTATAGCTTGTTTTGAAGAGAAAAATGTGTAGAATAATTTGTTCTTAATTTTGAACAGAGGTTAA